CTCAAAGAAGCCTGCCCCTCAGCACAGGTATTATGGTTCTCAGCAGACATGGACAAGACAAACTGGGCACAAATCCCAGCCTGCTTTACCACCTTCAACAATCTATCTCTAAGCAGGTTATCAGGCTTCTCTCTGCCTCAGTTTCTCATTTGGAAAATGGTTATATAACCATCTAGCTTGTAGGCATTCTGAGAGTCTTAAATGATAACACAGAACCTGACATATAAATGACACTCTATCTGCATCAATTTCCTGCCTGTCCTCTCTTTTCAGCTCAGGGTACATTATCTCTGCCTCCAGGTCCCTTTACAGATGGTGAGGTGAGCCAGGGTCACCTGCCAACATCTCTCTGCCATAGCAATGTTAAGGGCCAAAGCCACATCATCCCACTGAGAGCCTGGTTCTCAATATTTTCCATCTTGAATGAACATTAACTGCCTGGCTTTCTGACTGTTATGTAGAAATGCAGATGGCTGCTTTCCCTGCCATTTTAAAATTGCTTTAGGTGCTTGTGTGATGTTCAACATGACCTGAAGTGTTATGGCAACATTCTAAGGAAAGAGAAAAAAAACCAGAAACAAGTAAATTACTGCGTTTTTCAGGAAATATGCTCAGGAAAGGAGCTGAAAATCAAAAGCTTTTTATATGAGCTAGCAAGCCAGTAGTATCAAACTACACAATTCTCAAAAGATGAGCATTCTGGAAGACTAGGGGGATTTCTTAAACAACCAATGCCTCCTCATCTAGCAAGGTTTAACATTACTTCCCAGATCCTTATGCCCAAGCCAAAGTGGCTCTGCATCTTCAGTTTTGTTTTTTAAAGACAGTACAGGATGTCATCTGTATGAAGTCTCCTGCCCAGCATGACTCAACAGTTGGTCACATACCAACTCTGTTGTTATTATTTGGGAATAACACCACCCATTTTATATGACAAGTGACCTCCAATCATTTTTATTAGTCTATACAACACCAGCCTAGCATTCTTAAGGACCTTGTTTCTGTTTTATAGGAGACACAAAAGAGGTCAAGTGATTGGCTTAAGGTCATACACATTTCATATGATCTCAGGTAAAGGGAAGGGGCTATGATTTGCAAGAAGCTGTTACAGTTGGAATCCTGATTCTTTTCTAGCCCAGGAAGAAAGGCAAATTGGGTAGAATAAGCATAGATTTTTTTTTTTAATATTATTTTATTTTATTTTATTTTTTAAGATTTATTTATTTATACAAGCACTGGGTAGTCAGAAGCACGGGAGGATGAGAGAATTCACCAGAGCCAGAGCGGGGAACAGAACGGGCAGACAGACGAAATACACTGCTGAGGGCAGCAGCGGGCGGCAGGAGAGGTCTGCTGCGCCATGTGGGACCCTCGTCCGTTTGCCGGGGATCGAACCGGCGCTGCAGAGGCTGCGGGCAGATTCGCAACCCAGCACTCAACCGCTGCACCACTGGGGAGGCCCGATAAGCACAGATTTTTAATTCTGGTCTTCCCCACAAGGTGTGACCTGGTGTGAAGAATAAGAAATGCTTCCTTTTGCCCCTCTTAAAAAGGAAATTTTCAACAAATTCTCCCCATGACTACTAAAGGAATGAACAAGGGGGAAGCTGGACCCAATGTCTCTCTAACACCTCTATTTAACTCTGAATCCTAAGAAAAGAAACCAGGAGGGAACGTTTAACCCCAAACATGGCACAAATGAATTCTCTGGTGCCTCTTTATACTTGATTCTTTTCTTTTAAACTTGAGCAATTATGACAAAGACTAGGGGTGACTGTTATATTTATGAAGAGACTGCAGATGAATTGTCCCTCTAAGGGCAATTCTTGCCTATATCCAATAAGACTCGCAGTCATGAATTTGCACTGACACACAGCATATTCACATTCTACTAGAGCTCACTGGATAACAAGGTTGGATATTTTATAAGCGCTTGATTTTTAAATGCCTCTAGAATAGGTGATGGGTACAGCTATGGGAGAAGGTAAGAAATGCAGGAAGAAGAAGGAGCTTTTCCAAAACTGAATTGCCTTTCTTTGACTTCACAGTATCTGCGAGTCTTGGTTTCTTGGCAAGCTAATTTGTCACACTGCTTATAGCACGCACAACCGTACAGGTGTGCTCTGGGTTTCAGGCCAAGGCATGGGTACCTCCTTCCTCCGGAAGCCACTCAAGAGAGAGGGATAAACACTGACAGCAATTCGGTGCTCTAGATCTAAGTAACAGTGAAATCCCGTCCCCTACCTGTGCCGGTAAACATTTCTCCACATATGGAGAATAGGAAATACTTAGGGATTGGGGGTGGCTAGGAAGGAGGATTCTTTGCAGATGGGGAGGGAAAAAGGCAACGGAGCCAACTCTCCCATCCTGGTCTGAGCCTACACCACAGACATACATTTTCCACACTGGAGAACAATAATCCCTTTATCCAGCCAGTCTGGAACAATTGGGCCCTGATAATTGATTACAGACCTTGAATGGAAAGTTGGGAAGGTGTGGGTACAGCTGGAAAATGGGCAGGAGGATGGGAGGAGACACAAGTGGAGCCCTTAAAAGGAGAGTGGGGGTAGGTGTGATGAAACTAAATCAGTTAAGAAACAGAAGGCAGATGCTCTGCCACTAATACTACCATGGAACATGCCCTGACAACTTCTTCAGAAAAGGCTTGGAAGAAGCTGGTCATGGTAGCAGAACAGGCACTAGGCCATCTTCTGGTCATAGCCTTACAATTAGCTGGTCCTTAAGACCCTGGGCAAGTGCACAACCTCTGAAGTCCAACCTAGCTCTGACCAGTCCTTCCTTCCTGCTCCAATAATCATTCTACTCAAACACATGCTTACTGAGCACATTTATTCTAGCTGACCTCTTCTACAAAGGGTCAAACATTTTAAAGCAAATATTTCAGGCAGGGGTAGGACCCATGGTTTAAATCACAAGTACTCAATACTGCCATTGTAGAACAAAACCAACCACAGACAATATATACATGAATGAATATTACTATGATCCAATAAAATATAATTTATGGACAATGAAATCTAAGTCTCATATAATGTTTACATATCACAAAATAAAATTCTTTTGATTTTTTCCTCAATGCTTTAAAAATATAAAAACCATTCTTAGCTTGCAGGCTCTACAAAAGCAGGGAGGACCTAGTCTGTGGACCAGTTTGCCAACTCCTGCTCCAGAGTTACAGTGGTGAACAAGACCAGATCTCTATTGTCACTGGTTCTGTGACTACTACGTTACCTCTTCTAGAGGTCTCCTCTCGATTTAATCGCCCTATGAACGCAGGCCCTGGTTCATCTTGTTGCACACACTGTAGTTCAGCTTTATTTTGCTTTGAAACCTCGTAACTAAGATGCCTCATGTAACTATGATGGCCCACCATCAGTGGCTTTTTTTGGCTGTGTCAGGGGCTCCTCACAGCCAAGGAAGGTATTAGGTATATGGGAAAGGTTTGTGCTAAGTGTCAGAATGGGGTGAGGTAGATGCAGCAGAAGAGGTATCTGTATGTGGGTTGTGAGAAAGGTTATGATAAAACAACAACAAAATCAGTGATTGTTGCTCCCAACATTCAGGGGAAAAAATATTAGATGAGATTGCACCATTATATATGTGTTGGGTAATGGGGTAGGAACTGACAGAGAGGGAGTGAAAGAGAGAGCATGGAGCTATGGACACTCTAAAAGCAACAAAATAGGGGCATCCCTGGTGCCTAGCGGTTAAGACTCAGCACCATCACCACTATGGCTTGAATTCAATCCCCGGCCTATGGCACAGCAGACCTCTCCTATCTCACCCACTGTTCCCCTCAGCAATGCATTTCAGTAAATCCACCTGTTCTGCTCCCCACTCTGTTCGCCCACCCCCACACCTCTGTCCTACACCACTGTTCTTCTATGCAAAACAAACGAACAAACAAACAAAAAAAACCCACACAGCTCTAAGCCCCTTCCAAGTCCCATTCCAGAACCTAGCTGCATCCCTCTCGAAGGGAGAATATCCAAAGAAAACTGCCATAAACGTGTATCTAATGAGGTCTGGTAAGGGCATCATTACTGATAAGCCCAATCATACTGAGACCCTTACAGGTAATTGCAGATACAGAAGAAGGTCCTACAACAACACCCAGAAGTCTATAGTATGCCCTTTCTAAAAATGATGCCAGGGCTAGGGGACCACAGGAAGAGACCTACAAAGGTGGTCAGAGCACTGTTGAAAGCAACCAGGATCATACAAACTCAAAAAAGTTCACTGCTATATTTCTAATCCCTGTTAAAGCTCTTCCAGCTCACCATCTTCAATCAGAAAGTCCTTGGAATCATGAAAGTATATATTGAGGGTTACATATATGATCATAAAGTCTATCTGGGTCAACCCCTTCATTTTACAAAAGGAAAAACTGACCCATAGAATGGCTAAGTGGCTTCTCCAAAAATCACAGAGTTTATGGTGTCAGGGACCACTTCCTGCTTTCACTAAATTACAACACCTCAAATTCTATACTCATTCTGAGAAAAAGCACAAATAATTGTGCTACCCCAGAAAATCTTCACAACCACTCTATGAGGCAGGTACTATTATCCTATTCTATAGCTGAGAAAACTGAGGTTTGCAAAAGTAAAGAGGCTTGTTCAGAGTCACAGAGCCAGCAGGTAGGACTGGGCTCTGGGCACAGGCAGTTTGATTCGAAAGCCTGCAAATCACACTCTAAATCCTATACCTCTATCCCTAATGACAAGGCTGGGGGCAGCAGGGAGTAATGTCATCACCAGCAGGTTCCTTATACAGCCCTCCTCAGGCTGATTCATTTGGCCCCTTGCTGCTGCACCCCCAGGACTAGCTCCTTACTACCATCCCCGCCCCCCGCCCCCAACCACCAACTTGCTTTCCCTGCAACTGCCTACTAGATAGAGTCCCCAGTCCCAGCCTTTGGAAGAGACCATGGCATTTTTTTTTCCCTTCTTACACACAGATGATGAGCCAATACTTACCTGAGGCAAGTCCGTCTCCAAGGAGGGTGCTAAGGATCACCAGTGGAAAGAATAATCCATGTCCCACAGAGGCCAAGGCAAGCAAGGAGATGCTCTTTGGTATTATCCTGCCATGGCACATCTTTTATCCGTCCAGGTTATTTTGAAAAGAAAAAAATTCAAAAGCCAGAAGAATTCTGAAGTCAGCCAGGGGCAGATTCACCTATAAAAAACAAACAATAATATAAGTAAAAACTTTAACCACAAATTAGAAGTAGGTGCCGGGCAAGGAAGCTATTACTCACATACAAAGTTGAAAGAATTCTAGCAAATGAATTCCTTGCTGCCAGGAGAAGACACATGAACCTAAGTGGCTTTCCGACTCCTCCTTGGGGAAATGCCAAGGCCTGCAACAAGGTGCCCGCAAGATCAGGGAACCAGATCCTTCCAATAGGACCAGGAGAGAGTGCTGGCTCACCTGGAGTCTGTGAGGCCCCACAAAGCTCTCAGAAATTGCCCCAGCTCTGCTTGCCTGCCTCTGAGGCCCTAGCAGAGAGGAAGAGAGGCAGCTGTTGACACAGAGCTGCTACACCCTTGAGTCAGGCTTTGTCTTTGCCACTTGGACTCTAAGCAAGTTCAACTATCCAAAAGGAAAAAAAAAATAGAGAACACGTGTCTTAAAGGGAGAAATACACCGCCTAGAGAAGGAATGCAGCTGAGGGAGCCAAGGGCCCCCGGCTTGGCCAGCTAAACCACCAAAGGCTGGATGAACCCCTGAGTATCTTACTCTGACTCCATAGTCATGAATCTCAAAAATGGACTAATTAATTAAGGCTCACCCAACACCTGTGATCCCAGAGGCCACTTGTTGGCTATTCCAGACAATGACTGGGGCGGGGGAAAGACTGTAATTGCTAATTAGCCCCCGCCCCAACCCTCACTTTAGTTCAAAGATTTCAGAAGAGTGGCAACCACTATCTTAAAAAAAAAACAACAACAACTCAGGGGTCAGATTTTTAAGGATTTTTGTCTACATTCCTACAGGAAGTAGGTGGCTTGATGATACATTATGTGGGCCTATTATATTTGTTAACTCTTTATAACAGCTATTCTAAATAATAAGATCACACTTCCCTTTTAATTTCTACACACATCCTTCTCTACTAATAAGGTTTTATAAACACAGATGAGAGAATCTGCCATCTACTGGCCTAATAAAGGCTGCCCTGGAGATTCTGCCTGGGAGATTAACCAGACCTAATTTGTGTCTGAAGCTTCCATTTCTACCTATGTTACCCTTTTAAAGAGGGTTACTTCAAACAGCAGCATGAGTTGTCTCAGTCCAGAGGAAAAACAGCTATGAGGGTCTCGATGAACATGAGCCAAAGATTCAAGAACAAAGCTAGTCACTAGGTCCTCATCCTTGTAGTTGTCACCGAAACAGTTTTCTGTCCAAAGCTTTCACCCAGACTCCACCCTGAGTCTTTACAGCTGTAGAACAGGGAGAGGTTCATGGAGAGGTATAGCGGTGGATCTGTGAGTGACCCAAAACAGCACATAAAACTGCATGTGCAGAGATGTATGGAATGTATATAACTTTATGTGGCTAGAAAAAGTGGAGTCAGAATGTTAGAATCCAAAGGCGTTTCCTCTATTATGAACTTATGGTCAGTTATAGAATCCTCTCAGCCTCAGTTTCCTCATCTGTATAAGGGGGACAGTATAACTCTACTTTCATGGGAGATCTAGTAAGGATTAGTATCAGACAAAGGCACTTGGCACAGTGCCTGGCACTTTATGAGTCCTCAGCAAACACTGACAGCTGGTGCTGTTGTCATTATTAATAAGATCAGATCTGTAGGAATCTTAGAGGTCATCAAATTCCACTTCCTCATTTGATAGATGCCGTAACCAAGGTGTGACGAAGTCAAAAGATATGTCCGGGCCACCAGTCAGTTAGCAATGGTCCTTTGGTGTTTTACATGCAGCCACAGCAGGTAACCCTACCAGACAGTCATCATCCCCTTAAGGCAACAACAACCAGCAGATTATCAAGAATGACACTTGCATGTGCCACATCACAGCATGTGCAAAACAAATATTTCAGTGGTGAATGGATGAGGCCAGATGAGAGCAAGGTTTTAGGTGTTCCAGGGGAGGCAATCAGGGAAGAGATGTTAAGCGTGCTGATCAAGGATGTGGACAGCACCAGACTCAAGAGGATCAGTACAAGGGGAGCACAGTACTTCCAGCAGAGACTAGGCTAAGGCATTTAAACTTTACCCTAAAAACCACCTGGAGCTTACAAGAATTATAAACAGGTTAGTTAAAAGACCAAATTCATTCAGAAGATGAACCTGAAAGGGATTTTAGAGGATGGATGAAGCTGAAGGGTGGTGGCCAAATGGTAAGCATCTTAAATTTCTTATTTTATAATTAACTTGGAACTCTTTAGAGAGCACTTAATAATATCTGTCTCAAACATCCACATTCTCTAGCAATACTACTTTCAGAATATGTCCCCAGAAATCATACATGTGTAATAAAAGATACGCAGGATAGTCACTGCATGACTTGTGATGGCAAGAGATCAAAGGGAGACTAGTTAAATAAGTTCTCAAATATTCATATAACACCATGCAGTGGTTTAAAAAGAACTGGGCAATTCAGTCTTTACTAATAATGAGTAACTTCCAAAATTAGTACTTGAAGACCATTTGTGCATGTATTTTTAAAGGACACAGACACACACAACATACACTTCTTTCCGGATGGATGCACTCAAAATTTCTGAAATGATGCACAAGATCAAGAAACTGGTCTTTAGGGAGGGGAGCTGAGTGGTTAACAGGGAAGGAGGGAGTGGCAAATCTGGTAAAGGGTATCAACTGTAGATGAAAACTGGACATTCAGTGGTGATCTGTAGCTTGTACAGTTACTGAACTGTAATCCTGTATACCTGAAACCTCTGTATAGTTGTGAACCAATGTTACTTCAACGAAAATTTTAAAGACAGGGAACTCCCCTTGAATGTTATACTTTGTTACCTATCAAATAGATAAAATATAAAATTAATGTAAGCAGGGGTTCCTATATATTACATTTCTCCTCCATCAACAAATTGACATGAAAATAAACCTGACTACTCCCTCTACCAGGAATATAGTCAGTTTCAGGGCTAAGCAGAAGGTCACCTCTGAGAGGAATTCTGACACTTTACACCATGCCCACCTCCAGTAGATTTAATCCCCTTCTTATTCCCAAAGGGCCTGGGTTCCTTGCTGTAACTGCACCTCTACCAGATTTTATAGGTATTTGTTTATCCATCTCCCCTCACTAGGCTCAATGTTCCTTGAAGGCAGAGACTATAAATTACTCAACTTGGAATCTTCAACAGCTAACACAGGTCCTGGCACCTGACAGGCAGGTAGCAAATATTTGCCAACCTCATGCATACTGTTGGGAGGTGCCAAAATGGAACTGAAAAGAAGAGGTGCATATGTGAGCTCCAGTTTTTGTTTTGTCTTGAAACAACTGGCTCCTCTCTTACTGCTTAAGCAGGTAACTGAGCCAAGGGAACAGTTGCACCATGAAGCCTAAAACCAAATCAAGTGCAGAACAGACAGGGTGGTAATGGTGGTAGTGAGTGCATCAAAGGAAAGGGAAAAGATGAATGGAGTGCAGTTAATGGAGTGCTTGCATGCAAGGCTAGGCTTTAGAAATAATATCAAGAAAAGTGAATCCCCCTAGCCCCAGGGTACTGCCCATAATGGGAGAACCCAGCTATTGTGGAGATGGGGCCATACTCTGCATCTAATCATTTTAAGAAAGAATCTGCTTTGAATACAGAATAAAAAATAAGATAAAACATAGCCTGTCATTGAATTGTGACTTTAGACCAAGGGAAAAACATTTCAGTACAGATTAAGACTAGGTATTCATTATTTTAAAAGAAATATGTATAGCAGAAAACTGGAAAAAAAAAGGAAAACCATTTCACTTCAGTATACCCTTGGTATGTTAGTGACCACTTCCTCTAAGTAAAAAAAACAGGTGTAACAAAGTAGAGGTGGATGCCAGGGCTGGGGGAGGGGGGAATGCTGACTGTTTAATGCGTACAGTTTTAGTTTTGCCAGCTGGAGAGTTATGGAGATGAATGGTAGTGATGGCTGCACAAAATTATGAGTATGCTTAATACCACTGAAATGTGCACCTAAAAATGATTAAGACGGCCAAATTTTATATGTATTTTACCACCACAAAAAATATATGATTAAAGAAGGACCTCCATCTAAGCCTCATTTTCAAAATCAGCACTCATCCTTACAGGGAATATAACATCTAAACTTACAGGTAAGAGGAGAGGATCTGGAACTACTAGTTAGTCCCACCTCTGCCACCAACCAACTGGCAGATTATAAAGGTTCTCTGGCTTCCATGTAAAAAGGGCTCTAAGGTCTCTCAGCCACAGAATTCTCTGAGGTCCAAGTTTCTCATTGCATAACCTATCTCCTTCCTTCAGAAGTCACCTTTCCCCACCAGGAATCATGGAAAATCTGGGTGAGCAGGAATCATGGAAAATCTGCACCCACCCTTCTGATTTCCTTTCTTGGGACTAGTGTTATTCACCAATAGCATCTGGTAGAAGGCAATCTCATGAGCTATCCTGTCAAGCCCTCAGGGAAAGGTCTGGCCTTTCCCACCTCTGTGAACTCAGAGCAACAAAAGCTGGGTGACTGGGCTCTGTTGAATGTGGTAACATGACTACCCATTCCCAAGAGGAAGAACACGGGTCCTTAAGTCATGGCTTTGATCTTGAGAAAGCCACTTACCTCATCTCTGCCTCTGTTTTCTCATCTGACAAATGGGGCTGGTTGCTAGCTTTGGATAGTTATCTCACCAGTCTGAGGTGAGGCTCAAAAGAGACAAATTATGAGGAACTACTCTGGAGACTGGAATGAGTCAGGTTCTTTTTATTTACAGTCCTAGCCCAGACACCAAGAGAGCAGAAAGATGATACAAGCAGGGCAGGCTTCTGGTGTTAAGGAGAATCTGGAACAGGAGCCCAAAGTTCACCAAGTGTGCTTGACTACCCAAAGTTTGCTTGCTTTCTGTTGCCATAGATGCTTCTTTTTAAACAAAGAATCTGCTAAGATTAAAGGTGACCTAGGAGTCACCTTCAAAAATGGCTCATAGTCTAGGGAGGCAGCAGCAGTAGGTTGG